AGCTTTTGGACGTGTAATCATGCGTGTGTTACCATATTGTTGAGCAGACTTGATTGTATTGATCACCTTGATTATTTGTGCTATGTGTTTTCTCTGAGCAACTATTTTTCATCAACTTACCTTATTGATCTTGATCGGCCTTGTGCGTCCAAAGCCGTGTCAATTAAAATTCCAGCATCCATCGATAAATACACATTGTCAATATTATACGCTCGAGCTGCTGAATTACACCAAAACTATGCTCAAACCAGCAGGAATTAATGTCACATCAACGTCGATATTGCCATACCCAGTACGCCTATTTTCAATAATTTAGTATCATATAAGCCGAAAAATTTCTTTTAAATAGATGACCGCAAATAGTTCACGATTCCTCATTCACAATCTGCTGTTGGCTCCATCTATCCACTACTTTATAAATCATCTGGCAGCATTGACGGACGCAGAGTCACACTACGAATCACAGCCTACAGTCAGCCATAAGCCCTACGTGCCAAGAAACAGCTGTACGATGGTAGGTGCTCATCGCGACGCGAAGCTCACATCCGAGACAACGCTAAACCAACCTCGATAATGCATCTCTAGTCGTCGCGTCCACGCATTGTTAAGAAAAATTTCTCTGCATAGCGATTAGCTCAAGCAGACCAAACGATTTTCGGTGTGAGTGATTAGTTACATCACCTAGCATGGCATCCTGGGTAGGGGCTGTGGTGGAGCACGTATCAACCGACTAGGCTCCACCCGTCGGCATACCTCGCAAGCAATAATATTATTGCGCACGAACCGATAGATTCGGGCCAGTAAAGTCGCGACTTACCGTGAGCTGAGTCCTCTCACCACCACAATGCACACTGGATAGTGCATTATGAAACATCATACAAGATGCGCAGGCGCAAATTGCTGTGAATGAGGACAAAAACACGAGGTGTGTCGCCGGAAAGGACTATATAGTTCAGCAACCCGTTGCGCGTTATGTATCGATCCACGGAAGATAGATAATAGGCCGGTAATTCCTTGAGAGATTTGCGAGATGGAGTCACCAGATAAATTATTGTTCGTAGAAGAGCCTTATATTCTGCATCGAATTTTTTATGTAGTCTAGCAATGTTTACGAAGATGCACTAGTGACTAGCCATGCAACATTGAAATTAATTCCACTTTTGCACTGCGCAGCCGAATCGAATCGGGTTGGCGAGGCAACGCGTCAGCTACTACATTAAGTCGTCCTGGCTTTTAGTTACCGGAGAATTTGGACTCCGCGCAGAAGAAAAGCGATTTTGCCATGCTTTAGGAGAGGTGGGGCTGTTTACGGCCGCGTGTAATGACGCGTTGCTAAGCTCGAATGGCATTACTAGCCGCTTCCAGATCATACCGCTTGGAATGCTTACTGCCGTGTACGGGTCTCCCGTTCACGCATTAGGGTATGATAGAATCCGTTCATCAGATCCATGAACGAGAAGATGGTACTCTTCAGCGTACCATCAATGATTACGTCCTTCCTCGGTATCGACGTCTGATGCGGTACCGTTTCAGCATTCAACTTGTTAAATGCGTGCAATATCCGTCATCCTCCTGTGGTCTTGCGCACACGGAAGGTCGAATATGTATTTGGGGAGGTTGAATCCCTCACACAAACCGCAGCTAAGAAATCGGTAACGAACTTGTCGATAGCAAGTACTTGCTCACGAGGCAGTGGCCACTGCTTCATGACACAGAAAATCAAGCCCTGTATAAGCTCGAATTTACGTCAAATGTCTTTCCTTAGGCAACTCGCATGGTACGGATTCGGGCAACACATTCTTGAGATCGATCAAATACTTGTATAAAGTATCTACCTAAATCCATGTCGAGATTGAGACGTGTATCGCTCAATCCGATACTTTTTACCGAGGACACTTTCGTCTATTGAAAAGCTGCTGTGGACCCGTTCGTTCTCTGCAAATAAAACTGTCGACCAAAACTCGGTCACTTACTCGTCCTCTGCGATGAGTACATATGTGACTGACTTTGCTACTACGCCTTTCTCGCAAAACTCGTTCCGATTCTAGCACTGGCAACTGATTTATCTACACAAGAAACTTTGGAGGCACGATCAGATCAATTTTATACGCGCCCCACACTTGCCCCGTCATTAACCACGACAAGCAATGTCTCGGTTTCTTCCTGGAACCCCTTCTAACAGGATGCTGGTGATATGTTCCCTCAGGTTGATGAGATTTTGCTACCTCATCAATAACCGATGGCGGAATTTATTCATCAAGTACGTGAAAAATTATTCCCTTGACGTTTTCCAGCTGTAGTTGCGCTACCGTGTCCAGGTCCTATACGATCGACTATCCAGCCTATCTGGGATTGTCTTGTTGTCCAGTGTGGGCAACCGTTTTATTCTTTATAATGCCGCCCGCTAGGTGTACACCCATGCACCAATAAAATCGACTTCTTCGGGTGGGGGACCTTCAGTGCTACTTGTGCATTTGCACAGCCTCCGGCAGCTCCCCCCACGATGTGATTTTTAGCTACACTGTAATCATGAGCGGTTGTGCTAGCGACCGTACCGCAAGTGAGACCATCGCACTTACTCGCAGTGCGTCCACACGCTTGTGGACGATCCAAGACGTTCACCAGATGGATACCTGCTGAACAAGTTGCAGGCATCTTCACGGTTCGATGCTGCAAGCTGATCCTTAGCTCGTAATTTCTAAACAAAGGCAAACCTAGGATGACACCAAACTTGCCGTCTAAAATTTTATACGATGAAATCATCATTACACAATATACATTCTGGCGTGCAGTGAAGCCCACTGAACATTTATTAATGTTATCGATGCGCCTGTTGCTAGGCGCACCGTCATAATCTTTAGAGTGGTATCACGCCCAATAATTTAGATCCTAGATCCCTCTAGCCGCTGGCGACAAACGAAGTTTTTGACGCCCCACAGACCATTAGGGTACAAAGTGACAAATTTTATGTCACTTATAACTGTAGGGTGATGAGTGATATATCATCACCAAGTGCAGCGATACACAATTATTATGAGCCTGGAGCAATTTTCATCAAGATGTTTTCATAATTTTGTTGAGGTTGCTGGGTCAGCAAGGAGCTCAGCCCTTGTTGATTCTGACCGTTTTTTACGGTCTAGTACACTGTTGCAATTTCGCAACAACGTTGAACCCGCGTCCTCTGCCCTTATTGAGAAGTGTTTTACAGTTCGATCAGTGTTTCGAGATACTGGATGTAGGGCACTCCACTGGTAGGAGAAGTGTCCTATTTTTTTTAACAGTGATTGATTTTTTTGCAATCGCTAACTGTTTAAAAAGCGAGGGTTTTTGCTTCTAACATTACAGAGGTCCATAGGTTCCAGACTTTCGACTTCCTGTCGTCTTATGGGACGATATGAACCTAAACTAACACGATCCTGTCTCATGCTAAAGTCTCTCTGTTTCGCCACTGAGATCGCTTGTTCGAGCGTATCCAATTACAAGCAGAATTTATGCTTCTGGACGGGACCATCCGCTGGATTTGCATGAACACCGTAATTAACGTACGTCAATGGACCGGGTTGTCCTTAATACAACTCGCAAGGAGTCGTATGTGTTGGACGTTAGCGTGGATAATACGCTTTGTCTGTTTGAGTTTTATGAGTTCTGATTGAGCCTTTGACATAGCCCGTTGCGGCTTAACGTTTTTACGAGCCGAGTCTTAAAGACCTTTAACAACTGAAACACTTATGGATTGTATAACTAGAGTCCTAATTCTCAGATTTTAGCACTTCCAGCCAGGTTTGACTGATCAAATGTGACTTGTATTGCTCATCGACGATGGGTCGAGCCCTTATGGCGTCATCCAACTCGACGTACCATCTCAGTAGAAAGCCTTCCTCGATTACTCTGTACTTTGAGATGTCTATCTTCAAAGGTTCGGATCGACGCGCGTGCGTCGGCCCGGGAACAACAGCATGTGTAATGTTAGGTAAAAAGTTCGAACTGTTGAACACCCTGTTCTCTCAACAGCTCGGCCTGTTTAGAACCTTGATGAAGAAGCAAGCTTCCTTTCTCCCATGTAACGTTAAGTTAATTTTTTATAAGCTTGGAGACGGTGGCATGAATCCAACTATGTCCATTGCAGACAGCATGGCAGAGACGATATGTTCGCCCACGGTCGAACCCATTCGTTCGACCGCACTCCATTCTATATTGTTTAAATAGGAATATCTTTTACGCGTGGCGTGAAAATTGTCACTGTCATCATTCAACATGTTTCTATCGGATGTAGGGGTTGAGTTCCTTGGAAGGACTACAAAGGCTACCAGGTGTAACGGGGCACTGGTCACTAGTACTGCTTCAGTACTAGTTCACCTACACAGAAACAGTGTAGGTATTGCCGCGCGTCACTTCACGTACACCGTACATGCAGAGGAAGGCTATTGCAACGGGGCACCCTGAAGCTTGTACTGATGACAGTGCAAGCTACTTATTCTGATGACAGAATAAGGCGGTGCCTCGTAACTTCACGTACACTCGTACGTGCAGAGGAAGACGGTAAGAAGAAGCGAGTACTCGGTTAGAGTAAAAAGTAGAACTGTATTTATAATAGTTAATGTCTGCAATAAATCACTATTTATCTTCATCTGACTATGTCTAAATACAAATGTGTAAATCAGTTATCTGCTCACCACTCATTGCGTGCGTCTGTCGTGGCGCGTCTTCGTTGGTTGATATAATGGCCTATATCAACCAATTAGGATTTACTCGTAAGTGCTACAGAATATTTGTCCTTATGACAATATTCTGAGAATATAACTCTTATAGTTATATTCTATTAACAATTTCTTATAAATTGTTATGTAACGATTCACCCCGTTACATCACCCCCCTTAACCATCAGTCACTTTAGTGACTGATTGACTGAATGGATACTCGTCCCAAATCATTTGGGACAGGGTTTGCACTTGTTGGTCCGCGTCCACTTTCCAACATTTCATCGCATGGTAAACAAGCCCATGCGATGCGCGAACAAGGCCGCTGAGAGCGCGTCTGCACGTCTCTGTGCAGACGCCGAAGCAGAAACCGCTGCTACCGATGTGTCATCGGTTGCTAAAGCGTCTCAGCCTGATTCATCTGGTGATGCAGGCGCTCGTCATGAATCACTCATGTCTTCACAGAGTATGAGCTCGGTGTCTCATACTCCCCTGATACAGAAGAGGGGTCTGTATCGACGGCGATTGAATCTAAGCCGCCAGCCAAGCGTGGCATGGACGATGCTTTGCGTCGCAGCATCTTTGGTTCATCTGATGAATCAGATGAACCATCGCCGAAGCAAAGGCGCTCGAGGTCGCGAGACTCGGGCGCTAATAGTGGTGTCGGTTTTCCTATGGACACCACTTCACAGCGAGGTGCCAGTACTTCTGTCGGCACGTCACAGGAAGATCGGGACTGGAACGTGTTGCGTCTCGCTCCTGAGAAGAAGGCATGGATGCCTCAAAAATCAGTCATGGATCGCTTGTCGGCGACGACGAGTGTTCGTTATCGAACACGGTTGTTTGATTCGTCAAGGATCCATCACCTTGACCCCAGCGCGAAAAACTATCGCGCTGAACATGAATTCTTCATCGATGCTTTCTTTAAGCATCGATGGTACAGTGGGAATCACAAGCGTGATGGTCCCTCACTACTTTAAGCGTTGAACGCCTACATCCATAACCTCGAGGATGTAGGTCGTGACGCTTGGAACGACAAACTTATCAAAGCTCGTGATAAGTTTGAAAAGCAAACCCCGACAGGTGCACGCTACAAGCTGCATCGTCTGTCAAGGGAGAAAGGATTACCCTGCCTCTCTTGGGGAGACTCGTGCCCATGTTGTGTGAACAACTCTGCACTAGCACCTAAGGAAGCTTACCTCCTTAATAGCCCGTGGTGGCGCGTACGTATCTCTACTGAGATGTACGAAGGGATTGACAACCTGAAATCCCTTTACGACCGTGCCGGGAAGACTTTCTCCGGCGGTCCTTCTGCAGCACAGGATGTGCCGCGTCGTACTGCTCAACCAGACCCAGTACGTCGATCATCAGTTGGGAGCGGGGCTCCCAAGAATCCCAGGACGGGAGATAGCCGTGCCATCGGACGAGATAACTCGTCCGACGTCCGTTCACGTCGCGGTGGTTCAACAGCTGCCCAACTAGATAGCGCTGGCCACCGCGAGAGTCATCTAATGGAGGTGGAGGAGGAGGAAAGACGCTCTCCACACGATCATGAGGATCCGTGTGTTCCCGAGAGCTTCTTTGATCGCGTAACGCAAGGGTTACGCAACGATCTCGAACATGAGCGGAATAGGCGTCTCCAAATGGCGGACACTGTCTCGGAGCATCGAGCTGAGTTTGCCTTTGCTCAGCTTGAGAACGAGAGAGCTCTGACACCTCTTCGTGACGAGCTAAGGGTAGCTCTTGGGATTGTTGATCGGTCTCGGGATGAGATAGCTGCTCTTTAGACCCTTGTTGATGCCCACCATCGGGAGCACAAGGCTCTCTGCGAGATGCTTGAGCGCAAGGGCGTTTTTCATCGGAAGAAGCAGCGTACTGATGGTACGGCTTAAGCCGACCAACGTAAAACGTGGGATGCGTTCGCATCTTACGTGGTAACTCGATCGTGTATGCATTGCCTAGGCGGTGCAATACACGAAATGGGCCAATGTACTTGGGTAGTAGTTTACTGCTACCCAAGTTAGTCACTACATGCTTTGGTAGATTAACCGTAGACAGTAGGACTAAGTCACCTTTATTAAATAAAAGAGTGTTTGCCCTTCCATTCTTGTCGGCGTTTTGCTTTTGCTTATCCACCGCTTCGGCGATGGAGTCTTGCACAAAACGGACTACTGTTTCACGAGACAGTGTGAACTCATCTGATGACTCGTTAGCTTCAGTGTGCTGTGAGCGCACTGCAGCAACAACAACCTTTTCTTCAGTGAGGGCTTCCGCACTCTCACTGGGATCATTGTCTTCAGTGAGGGCTTCCGCACTCTCACTGGCATCATATTCTTCGATATCGATGTTATCGATATCGGCATCAAACGCAATGACTTCTTCGTCAGAGCGTGATGAGCGTGAACCAAATCGGTTTTTGCTCGCGCGAGTCCCTCCCCCCCTTAAACCAGAGTTACACTCTAGTAAGGTGGGTACACGCGGATGGCGCAAGCCATTCACGTAAAACGGTGTATGTGTCGTGGACGCATGCACCGAGTTGTTGATGGCAAACTCTACCATTGGCAAAAACTCACTCCAACTCTTAAAGGAGTGTACGTATCCTCGAAGTATCTCTTCAAGGACACGATTGGCACGTTCCGTCTGATCATCTGACTCTGGATGATCAGATGTCGACATCTTCAAGCGCGTTCCGAGTGATTTGAACACGGAACGCCAGAAATCAGCAGTGAATCGTGGATCTCTGTCTGACACGAGTTCACGGGGCAACCCATGAAGTCGGGAGATGGTGTCAATAAAGACACAAGCACAGCCACTTGCCGTGATTGTCTCTGGTACAGCCACAAGGTGTACCATTTTGCTGAATCTTTCAACAAATACGAGAATACCCGTATTCCCGCGTGCGTCTTTGGGTAACCCGAAGACGAAATCCATTGAGATGGATTCCCAGCACTCAGCCGGAACCGGTAGAGGCTGTAAAGGTGCACGCAGTGAAGGACTTGACTTCACTCGTTGACAGACTTCGCATGCGCGAACATACTTTCGCACAAACTGATACTGGCGGGGCCAGTAAAAGTCTCGACTTACCGTGAGATATGTTTTCTCTCGGCCACGATGTCCTCCTATAGGAGCATCGTGATACTCGAACATGATCCGCAAACGCAGATCAGTATCATTTGGAATGACAACACGTGGTGTGTCACCAGAAACGGCTGTATAATACAGTAAACCGTTACGAGTAGTGTATCGATCTGATGCAGATCGATACGCAGGCGACAATCGTTTCAACGATTCTCGGGATGGTTGGGAGAGATGTGTCAACAAATTCACTATCTCACCATATTGGGCGTATGCCCGCCTCACATCATCATGCAACGTTGTAGATGGGACTGAGGACGTCATAACCGCAACAGTGGCTGTCTCACTGTTGGGTTTCACGACTGGTTCAAAGTCGGGACGACGTGAGAGTGCATCAGCGACGACATTAAGTCGTCCTGGTTTGTACTCGACCGTAAAGTTGTATTCCGCAAAGAATGACAACCACCGCGCCATTCTTTGTGAAAGGTGCGGGCTGTTCACTGCCGTGCGTAATGACGCATGGTCAGTGTAAACAATGAAGGGTCTATCTCCTAATAGATAGACTCTGAACTTCGCGAGTGCATACTTCATGGCAAGGAGTTCCTTGTCATGCACTGGATAGTTCCGATCAGCTGGTTGAAGCTGACGCGACTGATAGCAGACGACGCGTTCAATGTCTTCAAGATCGTACTGCATTAATGCACAGCCGATTGCGAAATCGCTGGCATGACAGACCACATGAAATGGCCTGTCCTAATCGGCTATTGCTAGGAGTGGGGATTGTATCAAGCTCTGCTTGATACCCTCAAAGGAGCGTTGACATTCAGCGTTCCATAACCACCTCTCGTTCTTTTTCAACAAACGAGAGAGGTGCACAGTCATCTCGGCGTAATTGCGTGAATACTTATGCAAATACGCCGCTAGCTCAAGGAATTTTTGAAGACCTTTGACGTCAACCGGCACAGGCCAGTCGGTGATCGCCTTGATCTTTTCGGGATCAGGACGTACACCGTTCTTACCAACGATGCACCCAAGAAGTGGTATTTCGCTTGCTGCAAATATACACTTCTTGAGGTTTGCATACAATTGATGCTTTCGCATGACTGTAAGAACTTGTCGGACGTGGTACCTGTGAACCTCAACGTCCGACTTTCCATCCACAGCTCGACTATGGATGAATACGTCATCGAAATAATTCGGCGCGAATTCTCGTACTGGTCTCAACAGATGTGATACACATCTGTTGAACGTGGCAGGGGCATTACTAAGCCCTTGTGACATTACTAGCCATTCACAGAGCATGCCACTAGGCGTGCTAACTGCGGTATAGGGTATATCCCGTTCTCGCATAAGGATTTGATAGAAGCCATCCATCAAATCCATGGACGAAAAGATGGTACTCTTTGACATACCATCAATGATTACGTCCTTCCTTGGTATCGGCGTCTGAGCCGGTACCGTTGCAGCATTCAACTTGTTAAATGCATGCACAATCCGCCACCCTCCTGTTGCCTTTTGCACACAGAAGGTTGGAGAGCTACGTGGGGAATTTGATTCCCTCACGTGGACCGCAGCTAAACGATCGGCAAAGAGCTTGTCGATCGCAAGTACTTGTTCACGAGGCAGTGGACACTACTTCATGACACAGTACTTCGAGCCTGGTTTAAGCTCGACCTCGTGTCGAATACCTTTATCCTTCGGTAATTCGCACGGAACAGTTTCAGGGAATACATCCTTGAATTCAACCAAATCTTCATAGAGAGGATTTGTCTTGAGCGATTCCCACGATCGGGAGTCAAATCGCTCAATTCGTGTCTTTTCATCTAGGACACTCTCGTCCATAGATGAACTACTGAGAACTCTCTCGTTCTCAGTGAACACTGTTGCTGACCTTATGTCGGTTACACACTCGTCGTCAGCGACGAGTATGCAGATCTGCTTGACTTTGCCACTACGCAGATCACGCAAGAACCTTTTATGTTCGAGCGTTGGCAACTGAGTGATCTCCGCAGTCAAGTCCGGACTCGCAATCAGATCAAGTGCATAAGCGCCTACACTTGATCCGTTATTGACTATGACATTCAATGTCTCTGTCATTTCCTGGGGACTTATTCCCTCAGGCTTCGAAGGACTTATTCCTTCGGCTTCCCGGGGACTTATTCCCGCGGGTTTCGGGGAACTTATTTCCGCCGTGTTTGTAATCTTGGGACTTATTCCCTTTACTTCCTCTAGCTGGGGTTGCGCAACCACAGCGAGATCCTCTACGAAAGACTCTCCAGTCGATCTAGGATTATCGTTTCGCTTAACCTGAACGATCGATTGTTTCTCTTCTAGATGTTCCCCGCTAGGGATACATCTTTGTCTCAGTCCACCCGACTTATTCGAGTGGTGGACCTTCGGCGCAGCCTGTGTTTCCTCACAGCCGCCGGAACTTTGCTCCGAAGTGTAACCGTTTGGTACACTAAGGTTTTGTGCAGTCGTACTAACGACCGTACCACAAGTGAGGCCATCGCACTCACTCGTAGTACATCCACACGCTTGTGGACGCTCCAAAACGTTCATCAGATGGCCATCTGATGAACAAGCGGCAGGCATCGTTACTGTTCGATGTTGCCAGTTTACCCGTGGTTCGTACCTTCTGAGCCACGGTATTCCAAGGATGACATCAAATTTGTCATCCAATTCCAATACGATAAAGTCATCGTCATATTGGGTATCTTCTAGCGTATAGTGGATCTTCACTATACGCTTCATGACGGTTACGGATGCGCCTGTCGCAAGACGTACCGTCATCCTCGTAGGAGGTGTGTCACATTCACTGAATTTAAAGTGACCATCTTCTAGCGATTGGCGTCGCACAAAATTGTTGGACGCCCCACAATCGACTAGAGCTCGAAGGGACAACTTATTCGTCACTTCGAGTTTCAAGGTAATGAGTGAGACCTCATTACCTAGAGCAGCAACGCACAACGTTTGTGTGTTGGGAGCAGCCTTCATCAAGAGGCCTACAAATTCTCTTGGCGTTGCTGGATCAGTAGGGTGCTCCGCACCTACTGATCCTGTCCGTTTTTTTACGGTCCATCCCGTTGTTGCGTCTTTGCACCAACTGCGGACCCTCGTCCCTGCCCCTTTCTCATGGGTGGACGGTCACTACGCCCAGTGTCGCGAGACACTGGACGAGGGGCACTACACTCGTAAGCGTAGTGTCCTGTCTTTTGACATCTGTTGCATCTCTGCAACTTCTTGTAGCCTGTAGAGCGAGCCTTCTCGCTCTCTACATAACAGAGTTCCATAGGCTCTGGACCTCCGCTGTCATATCGTCTCGGTGGACGATATGATGTCGAGCTGGCGCGAGCCTGTCTCAGACTGAAGTCTTCCTGCTCCGCAATGGTTATGGCTTGTTCTAGTGAATCTAGTACAAGCCGGAACAGGTGAGTCTTGACGGGACCATCCGCAAGACCCTGCATGAACACCGAAACCAACGTGTGTTCATCCACCGGATTGGAACTTATACAACTCGTGAGATGTCGTATATGTTGCGCGTAAGCGTGCACATCACGCTTACCCTGTTTGAGCTTCAAGAGTTCGGTTCGAGCCCTGAACTCAGCTCTAGGCGGTTCAAACGTTTGTCTGAGCCGCGACTTGAAGACTTCCAACGACCCAAACGCATATGGGTCGTGCAACTTGAGCCCCAGTGCCCAAGTTTTGGCAC